ATTATTGTCAATCACGTCTCATAAACCGTTAATGCCCAGCTCTCGCTACGCTCGGGCCCACGCTGTTCTTGAAGATTTCAGAAACGCTTAGTTATAACGGACGAAAAAACCAAAACACCGATCTGCCGCTTGATATTTCTTTATTGTTACACCAACATATAAAAAGAATAAGTGAACTAAGGTCTGAAAATATTACAATAATAAATCATTGTATTACTTCTGACGATGTTTCACTCTTCTTTCTGAACAGCGACCGATGAGACGATGACTGTCGTATTGATGCCTCCGCGAAAATTGGGGAAGTTGATTTTGAGCAAACAACCAAGAATTGATCGTTCAATCTTCAACTCCATTGACACTCCCCGGCAAAAAAGGGATCCAACCCTTTTTTCCTTCACGACCAATGCACGTTGACTTGGATGCCATTGCGAGAACCTGGGTCACACGGACAGAGCTGAAATGGAAAACAAACAGAAAAGCCAACACACCACAAGCATACCCACAGCACAATCTCACACATCAATGACGACCTGCGCCTCCAGACAGAGACCTCCTCTTGACATCTTGCAACACAATCGCCACTTGCTAGAATGACTCTTGCAGAATGCAACGTGACCATAGCACCAACTCACGATACTCTACGCACATCCTCTTATCTACTCACTACCAATTACCACTGAAATCGCTTGTCACTCATTCTGCCTCAGTTCTAGTAGCGGTGACGCATGCGAGCCTCAGTCGTTTACACTCTTTCTCCCCGGCGTGTCGGACCGCAGCTAACAATTATCTCCGTGTGCATTTCATTCTCAGCAATAGCCTAGCCTCCCCGGCGTATACGACCCATCTGCTGTCCTTAACATCAATCAATTCATTCATGGATGTAGAAGACTCGAAACAACTTCAGAAGTAATCACGACGAAAATTTTAACAAAATTACGCAATAACAACAAGATACGAAAACAACAAGTAAACACAATGAATCCAAAATACACCAATTGATATGACACACCACACGTATATACAAATAGTACAAACAACCTCGCCGATCATGTCTTGGTGGAATTCCTTTGAAGAATTGCAGGACTTACACCAGTACGCCTACAACCCTTCTCAGGTTGACGATTGTAAGTTGTGGAATGTCCGGACACAAACAAGATTAACCAACAATTACAATAATTGGAACTCACACAACTAACACAAACATATGTACAATCAACACATCAAATGTTGTGGATTCTGCACGACAAACTACCCTTGAAGAACTGTAGGACTTACAGCAGTACGCCTACATTCCTTCTCAGGTTGATGATCCAAGTGGAAGTCGTCCGGACACAAACAGAATTACCAACAGCTAGATGACAGATGATATCAATTCAGTATATACAATATGAACATATGTACAAAATCATACACCAAGCACATTGGACTGCTCATTGATGCGCTACCCTTTGAAGAATTGTAGGACTTACAGCAGTACGCCTACAACCCTTCTCAGGTTGACGCTCTAGGTTGGAAAATCGTCGCAGAGTTCATTTGCTAACTTCCTTCTATCAGCTATATCCTCAAATCTGAACGGCAACACGCCCATGTCATTGTATCGTAGAATATAGATGACGAACAAACACACGACATATCTCATCAACCAAGTGTAGAAACAGAGTAATTTACACCAAAGATAATAACATTCAAATAGTAACTTGAAACTAGAAATGCCTTTATTCGTGCAAGTCAATTTAACAATTACTCTCTCGTTTACACTTGGCTTATCCTCACTAAACTGACCATTGATATTCGTCCTTTCAAACGAACTGATACTATCATAGTCATTGCACAAGATACTTGAGTTGATGGGCGTTTTTTCATTGTGGATGACAGCACCAACGACGACTGATTGATATCAGTTGATGAAGTTAGCGGTGGATCAAAAGCTGTTGTTGCTCGACTTTCAGAAATTTGTCTACCTGCAAGACCACCACCACTGCTGTCTTTTACTATCAGCTCAGGTTTAGCACTAGCATCTGATGATAGGTGGGCTACATGCTGATCAATCACACTGACGGTCTCACAAGTATGCATGCCTTCTGCAACTGCATTTATTTCTACTTCACGTTCAAGTTGTACAGAACCTTTATTTAACTTAGCAGTAGTAGGCATATCCCTCATCTCATCATGATCAACCAAAGACAACTGTGAAGTATCATGATCATTATCACGAATATTCACTTTACCGTCAACTTCATCATTTTCAAACTCTTTAATAACAGAAGTAGACAATTTTGGTTCCTCCTCACAAATCATTAAAGGTTTTATAACTTCACTCTGACTAGTAATACCTTGTAAACTTGTAGGGTCAGAACTGCACTCTGAAGCAGCAACTCTATTCTGTGACACTCTATTCAACAATGGCTTACCAGTTGCAACTACAGACTTCTTCACCGCACCGTTATCGTCACACAATTCGGAGTCAGGCCTGGAGTTTACATTTAGCTTATCACTGAACTTGCTCACTGGTTCACAGTTCACCTTTGTATGCACCTCTTGAAACGTGTAAACACAACCGTGTTTGTCTTGCATCTTGTAACTTATCTGTTGAGGATGTACTACGAAACCTGTTACACTCACTAGGTCTATATGCATTACTAGACATCATGGAGCCTTCTCGATATCCACCTCTCTGAGGCCTATTCGTCATCAATGATTGCGTTTTACCCTCAGACTGCTCTATTCTAGGGGTGAGATGTAATAGACTGGCGAACTTGCTCATAGATTGATTGACACTATCTTTTACCAGTTTCAGGATATCATCAAACTTTGGCTCGATACCCTCATCCTCCATACGGGAGCTCATCTTCACCCACTTCCTTTGCAGTCGAGTAGGTAGACGTCTTGCTATTACTTCTAGTATAAAACTCGAGTTGAGGTCACTCATGCGATTCATCGAAATCATTCCATTCTTGTAAATTAGCAAATTATCTAAAAACTCAGTGAGTGCCTGGGAGTCATCCTGTAATTGACCACCATTACCCTTAACAGCCTCGAATAATTTCCCTGCAATCATCGAAGGTCTTCCAAACCTTTGACGTAATATGCTCATAGCCTCGTAGTAGCCCTCTTTTGGCTTCATAAACTTACAGCACTGTATAGCTCTTGCAGCATCTCCAGTGCAATATCTCATCAAATACATTAACTTCAATTCATCATTTAATAAAAAACCACTCAACATGATCTCAAACTCCTTTACAAATTGTAAATAATCAGCCGGGTTTCCATCAAAACACCGTGGTTCAAATTTAGGGAGTTTGATGTTCCTATTATCCCTGAACGGCGAAACAGTAACATCAACCATGTCATGCTTAACATCAGACACATCGTTACAATTAACAGACAAGTCACCATGACTTACTTTCCTGTTTGCATCCAAGACACTCTGTCCCTTCTTTGACCCAGGCATTGTTGAACTTGACCCAATTCCAAAAAGTTCCAGATATTGCTTGTTCAAAGAGGACTTGACCGGCACCAGGAAAAATGAACGGCGACTATCCAAACTTTCACCAACTGTTTGAATCCGCCAGATCTGTTTCATCGTCAGAAACTGTCAATCACGTCTCATAAACCGTTAATGCCCAGCTCTCGCTACGCTCGGGCCCACGCTGTTCTTGAAGATTTCAGAAACGCTTAGTTATAACGGACGAAAAAACCAAAACACCGATCTGCCGCTTGATATTTCTTTATTGTTACACCAACATATAAAAAGAATAAGTGAACTAAGGTCTGAAAACAAATATTACAATAATAAATCATTGTATTACTTCTGACGATGTTTCACTCTTCTTTCTGAACAGCGACCGATGAGACGATGACTGTCGTATTGATGCCTCCGCGAAAATTGGGGAAGTTGATTTTGAGCAAACAACCAAGAATTGATCGTTCAATCTTCAACTCCATTGACAATTATAAAAGACCACATAACAACGGAATTGTCATCAGATTTAAAATAGGTTGGAGGATGTGAAGAATCGAATTGCAAAGGATGAGATGCGGTGAAATGGAGTGAATTTTTCCGATACAAAGAAAAATAAGGGACGCTGTAATAGCTAAACCAAGATTGATCTTTTGAGTGAATTGTCATCTGTCTTGTCTGATATCTTATAAGGAAGGAAGTGTGTAATTTGACCGTTCCTATATAACAGAAAGTAAAAATAAAATTATCTGAGGACATTCTGCGTCCTCAACAATAAATGTATCAAACATTTATCCTTCACACAGATGCAGGAAAGAAGACGTTTCTTTCACAGGATTGTCTTTTATGCTCGCCATGAAAAACATCAGCTAAGTGAGGTCCTTTTTTACACTGTCATTCTAAACTCACTCTAGCAGGTTACTAGGATACAGTAGTTCGCGTTTTTGTTAGGGATTCTTCGTAGGTTTGAAGGTGGAGTTTCTACTAAATGTGATTGCTAGTTCCACGCCCAGTTTTCCTTCTTTCCAGAACTTACAATTAGTTAGTTATTAATTATATTACGAGTTATTACAATGATATAAGAACACTGCATTAATTCTATTCATGTTCCATGTGATATCAATACCGATAGTTCAAGAAGTAAATATAACCATTCATTTTTTCAATTGCTCACTGACGCTTGTTTAATCCAATCCAACGTTATGTTATCTTAGTGATCACAAGCGTAAATACGAAATTCTATGGAACGTTAGCTATAATGTAAAAGATTATTATATGAATATTTTAGAAATGGAGGACCAGATTTCTTTATCTGTCGGACTCGATAATGCCGTCACGCAGTTTGAAACCTACGAGGATTTTCTCGATTCTCAGATAACAGCAACTGACTTATTTTATTTAGAGGTTGTAACCTTATCTAATAATAATTCTGATAGGATGAAGAATTGGCTCGTCAGCTTGTCGAACTCGGTTACCGGGGTCTGGTGAAACTGTTAAACGTGAGGATTTTAACAACCGCAAGAAAGCACTGGCGGAAGCAATGCTAGCTAAGGAACAACAGAAAGAGTAATACGAGAAAAATTTATTTCGGTTTGTTTATCTTTTCCTTAATTAAATTTAAATATACAAACTGTGCACACATCTTTGCAACTGTTCTAAAGACAATGAAGGTTTGCTTCAGTTTGGTGGTAATAATTTATTTGTAATTTAGGTTATATAATGTATTCAGTAATAGTATAAGTAGACGTACAGTGATATGGAAAAAGAGAAAGTCAGTTCACAGCTGCATCGACTGAGAAGACATGTGTTACGCCTTTTGAGTAACCATTGCCTTCCATGGGTAACGTTATAACATACCAACTATAGCTGACATAGAGGTACGTTGGTAAATGATACTGACGGTCAGACGGAATATTAACACTGACTCATTGAGCATTTGACCGTTTGTTTGGGCCACCTAAGTTGTTAAATATCTATAGATGTCTCAGGAGTGTCTGTAGAATTGCTCAAAATCGTTCTTAATGGTCGACATAGGCTCACTGATTTCTATTATTAGGTTCTGAAAATCACAAACTTTCATCAAATGAGATCCTTCGTGTACATATTTTCTTACTGTGGTTCTATCATACTTGTATTCTCTAACTTTTTGTATACTTTTATGATGTATGGCATTCTGAGCTGCTGCACTTTTGTGCGAAGTTGTGTGGTGATAATTATGTTCATTTAAGTCTTTAGAAAGATACTACTCTACTAATGTCGGATAAAAATGTGTTTTGTGCTAGTAAGCTCCATTCGGACTTGTAGATATTTTGTGCTGATCAGTTAAACCCACTTAAACCCCAAGCAATTCTTGTGTACGACCAATGGTTATTGCTAACGAGAATATTATGCACATAAAAGACAGTATTACTAAAATGGGTAACTACACACTGATTGTCATATATCTAAGATAAGATAGGTTAATTTTCACTTAGTTTTACTCAAAACCTTTCACAATCTGGCTAACACACCGCATTTTATTTAATTCGAAGTTCCGTCTACCTTTGTCTTTCCTTTTGTTAATTTTTTTTCTTATTTCATATTTACTTAGTTAATCAATCTAAGCTTCGTATGACATTGAAAGAAATGGTTCTATTTCTACGGAGTATGCCACCTGTTTTTATTTTTCATCAGCGTAATAAGTGAAGCATCTTTAAGACTGACTGTTACTATTTCTCCTTGGTGATTGGGTTGTAGTAGACTTATTTGCGATCTCGGTAACGGTACAAAATATCAGAATAAAAACCCAGGTTTGTGAAATAATGTTGTAACAGTACATTATAAAAATACAGTTAATGGGTTATGGAAATTGATGGTTACTTAGTGATCTAGTTAAAGTCCGCCGCTACAAATAATTAATATAATCCACAGTAGCGTTCACTGCCGGAGTCGTATCTACTAGTAGAAGATGTGCACTGGTTGGGGAATAGTCTTCGGATGGGGATGAGAGTTCCTTGCGAAATCCAAAGGATACAACACGGTCAGTAGTGAAGCAAGTAGACAGTACGGTTCGGCGAGAAGTCTAAGTGTCGAGCAGTACTCTGTATTTTTTTGACTGCACTCCAAAGTCATGTGTATTCTATGATGAATCGTTTTAAAGGAAATTTACGTACAGTGTTTCGGTTTTTAAAATCTAACAAAAAACTGTACAATCACATTGTTCCAGAATTCACAGGTTTGGCATATGGCAGTGGTCCCACGAGTTACACTGACTCGAATCAATGTTCCTTCAGGCCCCGACATGCAGGTCACTTGGACATCAGTTGAGCTTAAGGCAGATTTCATCACAGAGTAAGCTATTTACACTCTGTTGGTAGTCTGTGGTCTCAGTCGTACTGCTGTCGAATAGTGATGTCACAACAGTAATGTACGACTCGTGGACAACCAGCAAGCCATGCTGCGTTTGTCCTCTGGGTAAGGAGGATTATGAAGGGTAGATCTCAAAAGCAATGCATCGCAACTTACCCTAAAGTGACATGTAGTTGGGAAATGAAAGGTCTCTGTAGTAACCCAACTCGGAAACACCTCCACAACGGGGTCCATCCTGAAATAGTTCACTGGATTTTCCTTTCTCTGCATTCCGAATTACATATAGGGTTTCAAATTCCTAAAGTTCCAGAATTCCGGTAGCGGTAGTGTTTATTTTTTTTCGGGATGGAGTTGCTAGCCTTGCTTCCAACCTGCCTTTTTTATGGGCTTGGTACAAGGTAGGTGATATTTGGAAGTGTGTCGGCCGAGAAATGGAGCCGGAGCTCTTGGGTGGTTGATATGGTCCTGCCACTGGCAAGCCGACGGACAGTCCACTGGAATAATGCTAAAAGATATCTGGGATAACATCAAACCTAGAGCAGTAAATCTCCTGTATATAGTTCTATTTCCTATTGGCTGTAGCCCAATGCCATTTATTTTCCTGAAACATTAATTCAGATTTATCCCTTACCCCCACTTAGCCTTATATGTAGTTTAACAACAAAGGGTATCAACGGTCTTGAGACACATGCTGTATCCAAACGCAATGTTCGTCTTGTAACCTCCGAAGTACTTTCTCTACTGATACCATAGATAAACTGAAACAACAAAATGACCATCCAAAATACGATATGCATTTCGCAATCAGAGATTAGCTAGGGATGAAGCAAGAACGACGAACATAACACAGTAGTGTGACAAATGGCGTCTATGCTTGACATCATGCCTTCAGATCAACAAGTCGACTTGAAGAATGGGGGCTTGCATCCAGCGTTGAGTGAAGAATTTTCCGGAAATTTAGATGAAAGCAATAGATCGAACGAAGAAATGCATTCCTTTCCAGTTAGTTCCTCATCACTGGCTCTACACTGATTTGTAGTTTTTTGGAGAATTACTTGCCATATTGTTGTGTCTTTCTTACAGAAACATTTGAAATTATAAGCTGTTTACATTCTCATATTTTAATTTAAGTAATCTCTTGAAAAGATTATGTTCAGAACAACTTTTTCCGTTTTAGTGCGCTAGCATCTTCGGGTTTACAGATATCCTGCCCATTCAACCAGGCTTTGGCTTTGAGAGAGGGGCCCAATAGGACGGGTAAAATGTCTGTAAGTGTAATATGTTTTAATCGACTACTATATGCTGACATTTTTATATCTCCTGAAGCCTTTGTCAGGTCACTTTAATTGAGATTCTTGCATATTATGAGGAAGACTATACCTCTATTTAGTCACCTGTGACTGGAAAATCTATTTATACATTGAAAAATGCTCACAATAACTCGAACGAACCCAAATTTTTTTATTACGCGGACCCTAAAAATTTTATTCCTTGTGTTGTCACCTCTTACATCTATATCTTCCTATTCTAATGCGATTCAGTTCCTTTTTTTTCCATCTTTGTATATTTTGTTGTTTGGCAACCTAAAATGATTCAGTTTTGTATGGGGACTTTTGATGACTGTCTGCTTCTCACCGTTTTCATTTTTTGGAAATTTTGTAGTATACTGAGTTTCAAACTAGTGTAAAAGTGGAATTTCGACACTTTGGTACAGTACAGCTCCATATTAGATAAGTTTATTCGGCTTAATATACAGCCATACTGTATTAGTAACTGAAGGACGTTAAGAGCATAGTTTATCTCTCATAATCATGTCAGTGTATTCAGATAACTTCATAACTTGCCTTACATGCTTTCCCTCCGCCTACATTTTTTTGCAACTTCTAATACACTCCGTATCTTTTCGATTGTTAGTGTTTAGTGCTATTTCCCTTCTGAGATCCGATACTAGACACATTACACTAGTTACTAACTAGTGTCCAATCAAATTATCCAGTGCTTTCCTACAGGAGATCACTTGTGAGCCCGAATAATTTAGTGGGAACGTCTCTGAGTGCAGCACCTGTTGACAAGGGTTGAATTCTCAGTAGGGACATAATTACTTTCTTGGTCGCAGTTGCACCTCATTGACAGGTACCAACAAGCACAAAACCAAGGTCCAAGGCTTCCTGCCGATTATCTCCGACGATTTAGCTACAACAATTCATAGTGCACCGTGGTGATTAGCTAACTCTGTAAACTTGATTGATACAGTTCTGTCTGCACTAAACAAAGGACTAGACATGTGACACTAGTTACTTACTATTGTCCAATTAAAATAGCTGTTATTTAATTTACTTTTGTGCATCATTGTAACTAAGCGTGAATGTAATTAACTGACTTCAGACAGAAGTCAATTCAAATAAGCTTAAGAGTTGGTTATTGAACCCTAAAATATCCAGCTGTATCACTTAGAAAATGTTTTTAACTACGGCTCATTTGAAAGCTAACTGCAGTTTTAGGAAGCTGATTCTAACTAAGCCTTACTTTAACTAATAGAATTAATGTGTTGAGATTTAACTGAGTAAAATGATTTCCATGATTTACACGGGACATTGTTATCACTTGTTGTCAAATACTTCTCAAGGTTAAGCTTTATCAATTGTTTATAAAATTAATTCCAGGCTTTGTAAAAGTGACAATATTCCTTAGGCTTCAAATACGTTAACAACACCACAGAATTTTTCATTTCACAACAAGCTACTCAGAAAGCATTTTCTCGTAAAAATCAGAGTTCAACTTATTTTTTTTTATTTATTTTTGATTACAGCTTGATTCCACACTGTATTTTCGGTACAAGTATGGAATTTTCAGCATGGATATCGGTAGCCCAAATTTTGCAGGCCGACCATAGATATCAGGTGTGCGTCGGCGAGGGCTCGAACCTCGGACCATGTGCATGATCGGCGAGAGTCCTAACCACTGTGCCACCGACGCACATCTTGACATCTTCACAAAAGAGATGAAGCTATTCATTTGCCTGAGAAAGATAAAATAAATCAGTCAAAACTAATCATTACCTTAAGAGATTTAGTGTTCTTTGAAAGCATACAGAGATGTGCGATTCAGATTGATAATCGTAGAGATGATCTGTTCCGTGTAATAAAATAAAAACATGAACATTGATCCTGAACTCAAAAGTAGGACTAAGCTCTCTGAGTTGATGAAATAATATTAGGTGTTCATTTATGCCTAACTTCCCCTGTATTGTAATTTCGAAATAAACTATATAAACAAACGAATGGGATGGCAATGGGATCACCAATATCCCCATAGTAGCAGACGTATTTGTGGATAATTGGGAACATTAGGCTCTTAGAACGTATAATCCTGCTCCTAGGTCATTGTGGAGGTAAGTAGATGATACATTCACCGTGTTGAAATTTGAACATAATCCCCAATTTCTCATACATATAAACTCACTAGTAGACAGAATCCAATTCACTTCTGAGTTAGGAAATGAACAGGGTGAACTGCCAATTCTAGACTGTAGAATAAAACGAAAACAAGATGGTGAGTTAGATACTAGCATTTATAGGAAACACTCTAACAAATACTTAGACGTTAATTCATCCCATCCATAACTGCTAAAGACTGGTTTAGTTAAATATCTGTATAATCGGGATAACCGCCTAACTAGTAAGCCAGAGGATTTGAATAATAAAATCAAACAAATAGACGAAGTATTACTAGCGAATAACTAACTACCCACCAAATTTATTCAAAAAATATATGAAGAATCATAGAAAAACTTAGATTAGTAGTAAAAATGACGAAAATAATACAGAAATCAAAGCATCTGTAGCACTGCCATGTAAAGAAGGAACGTCGGAAGCCTTACGTAGATTCTCAATGAGGTTGGAATTAGGTTACCACTTAAACCAAACACCTCTCTCAGAGATAAACTTTGTCGGCTCAAGGACCCAAAAGATCCAACTAAGAAAAATAATAGTATTTACCAAACACCATGTAATGACTGTCAGGTCAATTATATAGATCAGTCAAACTAAGTAGATTAGAGTCAGCTAGAATATTGGAACGTAAAACTTTAGCTATACCTAGAATAATTGACCCTGCTAAGTTAAATTACCTAGAGAAAAGGTCAGCCAGTGCATTGCACTGCATTTACTTGCATGTAATCACACAACAGGGTGAGTGAGAGTATTAAAAAGTAATATAGTTGGGTGGAGATAGAGAGCGGTTAATCACTGAAGCTTTGTTTATCGATTCAACACTGCACATGTGCAATTGGAAGGACACGACGCCTATAACGAGATATGGAAAATGGCAACAAAGGAAAGTTGGACAGACAGAAAGTCAAATCAGAGGATAATAAATAATGCTTGAAATTTATTTTAATTCACACTCTTATTGACTAACAACACTCGTCTTATTTCCCATCGTATCATATTTTATTGACAACACTAATATTGTTTCCGAATTCACGTTATCTTCCTTTCTGTCTCACACATGTCTATTGAACTTTTATTGATTTATTCATATGTATAATCAATTTTTACTCATGTATATGAACGAAGCAAGAAAACTGTGTGAGTACCTTGATATGATTATGAGCAATAAATTGTGCTCAAAATGTCATCCAGTTTGTTAATACTGCATCACTGTGTGATATTTAAAATAAGATTATCTAATATGGCATGACATTCTACCACAGTGCCCAAGTTCTACACTTACATTCATAAAAACATGAAGCTGTGAGCAGTTCACCAGGGTCACTTCACTCGATGTAGATATTGGTTAAAGTAATCAAATGAAAAATTTCATTAGACCTCTACATAATAATAATAATAATCAGATTTGAGAACACAATGACTAAACACATGAGTACAATTCTTTTCACAGAAACATGGAATTTTCAAGTAAATTTAAACTAATAAAAACTATAGTAGAAATTCCATTGTTTAGTTTGTCGAGTAAGATGATGAAGGACATCATTTGAATCATTGTAGTTTATTTATTTCATTACATGTCATTATTTTAAGTATCTAAATCCGGCTTTCATCCTTTTTAGAATTTCTCATTAGCAAACTGAATGTCTCATGCCATTAAACAATTATTGTTTGAATTGATACCATATCTTAGCTACAGCATTTCTACACTCCAAACAATCAACTTATCTGAAATGAATTTTTTAAATGACCAAGGAAGAAAGTCAAGTGTCAGTGTTTCTCCGTTGGATCTTTACATAAGCGAAGAAGTCAAGAATACCATGTTGACGACCTGATTAATATTAGCTACTAACTTGTATGCTTAAAAGTCACTGAAATTAATAATATTATAAGATTAGATTATGATCCTACTACAGTACAGATTGACTACAGTTGTAGATTAAAAGCTACTGGATACAGATTAATTGGACAGATCGTCGCAAGTTCACTGTGAGTCGTGAAGTTATAATAATGTACAACTGCTAACTCAGTCATGGATGTGAACTGTTGAGAAACCCAAAACTAATACGAAGTTATTCACTATTGGTGTTCTCAGCTAGTTGAAATTCTTACTGAAAATCACTGAGATACCATTCTGTTATCCACCTTTATTTAAAGAAAATGATTTTCTTCGTGTTATATCCCCTAAGTCTGTGTAAGTATTTCTGACAGGCAGCTGCAGACTTCTAAACAGTAGCCGCCTTCACCCCATACTGAAGAAAAGATAGTCAAACAGGAAGGATAACTAACAAAGAACTCTGGTAACCAACCAGCCAAAAACCTATTGCCTAACAAATACATATAGGAGGAAATATGGATAGGCTGGACGCACGATGAGGAGACTGTCGAGTGACATCAAGTGCCAGGTAGGCACTTGATTAGAACTCGAAAAGGAAACAACGAGTTGAGCGTTGCCTCGAGGGTGACACGGATGAGATCGTATGATAGGCAGAAGAAGACTTATGAGCGATTGTAGAGTCAGTCGAATAGAACTGCAAGGAACAGGATTTAATGGAGATCTGCTCTAGAAGCCCTACTTTCCACTAGGAACCCAGGGGAATAATAAAAATAATTTAATAAAAAGTATTTATACATTTTTTCCTTCACGTTCCCCAGTGGAACATAGAGCTTCAAGCTAGTGGCTTGAAGTTTCTGTAGCAGCGTTTATTTTACAGGATGGGGTTGCTAGCCTCATGCCCAACCTTTCCTCTTTACCGGCATTATTTCTGGCTTAGCGAGGTAAAGGAGTGCGTCGGTAACCGGGGATCTAACCCCGAACCATGTGCATGGTCGACGAGCGTCCTAACCGCTATGCCATCGACGCTGTATACATTATAACTATTTCTTATCTCTCTTGACTTCGCTTTTTTCGCCTTACAATACTTAGTGCTTATCAATCTAGTAAACCAGTATCCGCTTTTTAAATGAATATATTATCTTATTTTTACATATTTATTTCTTATTTTCTTTTGTAGACAATTATTTTTATTCGTGACAAAAATTCACGCGGTCAAGAGATCTCGGGTTACATAGATTATGCTCATCGGTTAAAAACTGAAGAATTTGTATTATACTTTACAGACAAAAAGAAATTACTCCCAAGACCTGGAGACTTAAGGTACAGAGGAAAAAATTAAAGCATATTTTGTGTTCTCTAATTTATTTCATATTATTATTTGTTCAAAATGAATTTCAAGTGCTAGTTAAACAACTAGGAAGTGATTAGATTCCCGTAGCATCATCCCAGCTCATTGAGGGCAAGAAGACTGATAATGAGGAAGAAAAGAAACTGCCATAAACGCAAACCAACTAGAAGCTGTAGAGATGATGATAAAATTGATGCATTGAAGTCGAGAGATACTTGCAGTAGTTAATACCCATCAAATATTCAGCACACCCAAGAAAATGGAATTTAAAAATCACCAAGAAGGATGGTTATTTAATAACTTCTTGACATAGGTGGCTGAAACGTTTGACACAACACTCTGAAGAGTAGTTCAGTTGGCCTACAACTCAACCATAACTTTAGTATAGATATAAACCCTGAAATTGTAACTCAGACTATACAAACTATCTATAACGTAAAACAATACAAAGTAACAGATCTGGTGGTATGACTCCAGGGGTGTTTATGGATGATGGTAAAGAATTATGAACCAGATCAATTAAAGTATTAACTAGTGTGTGAGAACCCTAGGTGCCTTTATTGGACTGCTGTCGGTCACTGTCTCCCCAAGTTTATGAGGAAGAAAACGAATCTCCATGTAATAATTATTTTAGTGTAATTTAGCTTGAATGACATAGTATCTAAGTTTCTAGGTTCCATATTCCTAAGGATATTAAGAAGGCGTCTGGAGAAATAAATTTAGGAAGAACAAGGAAGTGACAGACTCTGCAACACAAGCGTACTTTTCGGTTTTCAACAATTACCATATTTAATAACCTTGAGATGTCATATATAACCCTGTTGGTTGTAAAGTACTTCGGTAATGTCTGATTGTCTGAAGGGAGTATCGAAAAGGTATATTGTACTAAGATTTAGCCATAAAGGAACATGTGGACAGCTGTCTTCTGTAGTGACGTCAACCAATAATGCATATCAGAAATGTCTAATCTCACTATACTTGTTTAATTTCATTATAGATGTATTAAAGAATTTGCGTCCCATTTATTTAAACTTCTCAGGAATTAATTTGCCACGGGGAAAATTTCTTACTGGTCCAGAAAACACAGACGAAAAATTTTTTTTATGTGAAGACGATGACGAAAGGCAGTCTTTTGAATATCATGAAAAAAAATTCCAGTATATCTGCATTTACTAAATGTAATATTATGCTCCAAGACTCGTTTGTATCTAAGTGTAATTTAATGACTGGTGTGAAATGACTAAATGTGTACTAACCATTTCAACAATTAGGGAAACTGAAACAACCTCAGCACACTAGTTGTTGACACAATCTTCAGTTACCTAAATCAATTTTCAGTAGACTTCTTCCCGTACTGTAACAATCAGTCTTAGATAGCAACCAACAGATAGTAAGTAACCTGCTATCCAATGCATATTATTACGACTTCGTATTTCTGACTTTCCAATCTTGGATAAACTGACGTAATCACTGATTAGTGGAATTTCAAATTTCAAGAAAGATTAAAGTTACTTCAGAATTAATGGCGAAGTTAGACTGTAAGCACCATTAAATATCAGTGGAGTGCGACCGCACCAATGACCTTGAAACGCGCACTGAGCAAGTTAATGAAACCTGAAAAATAATGTTGTCATCATCAATAAAATATCCTCATCGAAATGTTATGCTGTTAAATGGGATTTCTGGCAAGTTTCAGCTTACGCTTAGGAAAGATTAAGTTACTCTTGAAACCAAGGACAAGTTGGGATTAAGTTAACCTAATGAAGAAAGCATTAGGTTTGGTTCGAGTTAGATTACAATTAGTTTAGGGATATTTTCACGTTAGGGTTAGGTTTAGGAAAGATTTGGGTTAGAATACCTAAATAATTACATGCACAGGATGTGGTCAAATTACTCTGTTAATATAAGAATAGAACTTGTGCACTGTGGTAGAGTATAATTCCATTGTGGGTGACATTTACCTTGATAAAGTCTCACAGTGTTATACAGTAATATTTACAGGTGAAGTTTCGAGCAAAATTTATTGCCCTTTAAATAATACTGTATTACACTATGAGACTTTATCAAAATAAATTTTGCCCACAATAGAGTTATGCTTTGTTGATACTCCAACCGAAAACTGCGAGCTATTTTTATCACATGTGAAAGGAAGGTATCCTCTGTAACATTTTTCCACGGTTTTATGCATCTTTTTCATAAATATATGTATTCCATTCACAAAAATGCCTCCTTCACGTGACTGGTGCGTTCGAGGTCATTCGCTGATTGGTAGTCAGTGGTGCTTAAAGTTTAACTTTGCCGAATTAAATACTTTGAATTTCGTTTATAAAAAAATGCAAATGCTTGAAATAGTACTTATGTATAGATTACTTATTACTAATGCTGGTATTTTTATGAAAATTGACAGTTTCTATAACTGGGAGACTCAGAATGTTGTCGCCACTTCATCAGCGAACTACACTGTAATATCAGAAAATGCAACCGGATTGTTGTTTAGAAATAAACGTGATAGAAAAATACTGAATGTTGACCCAAATGTAAGTCATTTCATCATTTCATATATATATATATATATATATATATATAGTAGTATTTGGTAGCAGGATTGTTTATTTGGCGAATGATATACAACGTTGACTCAGTACAGCAACCTTAAATCGAAATTTCCGTTCACATAACCTCTTCGTATTATGCTTCTTTAATCTTCCCCTCATGATTTCTATATATTACTTCAAGTGTCCTTCATTGCATCTCTTAGTAAATAGATCCATCACTCTGTAGTTCAAGATCCTCGCAGAGAGTGGTTTTATTGAACATCCCTGCTAATTGCAGCATTGTAGTCCGATGCTATGGTGATTTAATCACAAGTCATATCTTTTGTATGCTTTTTAAATGAAATTTTGTATTATAAGTAGTATTGTATTCTTGAAATGCGTTACATTTGCTGCACTTTAATCAGGAAGTGTTGCTTTATACTGATATTTGCACGATATAATGGAATAAAGGAGACAGTAAGTTCAAAAGTTAAACGCATTTTAATGAATTTTCAAGAAATCATGGCAGTATATTTTGGCCTATTTATTAGAAAGTCTCACCACCCACAGGATAAAGGTGGAGTCTTATCAAAAAAGGGATATAAGATATACTCGCTCCCTTGCACATGACGTTCGGCACACAACATACTACTTTATAATTTTTCAGTAGTACTAATACTAATAGTGAAAAAAGCTGAAATTAATGATAAGTTAACTGATATTTCTCAAATAGGGTAAAATCATGCTTCTGAGTTCTCCGTCTAGCTACCATTTAACGAAATACTTCTAAAATACTACCTAGAACAGTTTGCCTTTTTCATTTGCACAGATTATCAAATTTGTTTAGCTTTTTTTCAGTTTATTCTCCGTGTTAATGAACTAAAGACACAGTCATCACTTTGATGTGATCTACAAACAGTAGTTTTTTCTTTCAAAAGCATTATCTTAATCTTCATTGTTACCTATTCCTCCTGAAAAGATATTATATGGCACTGTGTGATAAAGTGTGGCGTGTACTACTGACAAGATTTATCAGTAGCAATATGTAAAGAAACATTCATCGGCACACAAAAATATCAAATTGTGGAGAGATAGATTTGACGTCAAAGAGAAGAAGTGAATCAGCTTTGTAGAGAAACATAAGAGACACGAAAATAAGATAAAGAAACACAATACGAAGGATAGAAGTAGCACAACATGGAAGATCTGTGCAAATGACGATTACCATATAGGTGTACATAATTTCCCTATTCAGAGATATCAAATTTCAAACAAAGTCTTTATTACCAAGTATCTGGTTCTCTACAGTTACAATAGTACTGTTCACTGGATGTCACTTTAATCAAGATCTCTACTTTTACAATTTGTTCATCAAACAGGAGTTCAATGACGACGTGTTATTACGATTTGTGTTTGTATTTGTGTATTTATTTACATACGATGATTCATTTAATTTTGGTAATATTGCGTATGTTTATAGTAGAGTGTAACATTACAAGATTCACAAACTTATCCTGAATACAGCTATTTATTTGGTTGGTATTAAATATCATTTACCCTTAAACACAATAACGTTTCACATACAGTTTTTCCACTATTTCAAAAAACAGTGACCATTACGTGTCACTCCAACATTTGCCTTGAAACCTGAAAGATTTTTGGATGTGAAAGTAACCGGATGGTTATTAGTTAAAACGAAGGGACTGCCTATTCCTCCTTCTTTCTAAGTTATTCTCTGGCTGACGTTTACAAAAAATTCCAACCGAACACTCTCTAAAGTAGCTTTTATATTGATTCTGGCTAGCATTAAAAATAGAGGACAAACGTTTCGTCCTACTTCGGACTCATCGACTTAGTTAGTATACTTTTCCCCTCAGTAAGTAATGGTTTTCTCACTAAGATTTGATTGAATTCAGTATCCGTCACTTCAAACACCAAAGCGTTATAAGCTAGGTCACTGGATCCCTAAATTATTTATGTGTTCATGAATTACTGTAAAGAAAAATATGTGTTTCTTTCTTATTTAATTTCTAGGCTGCTTCACCTGGTGATAATTCAAAAAGAACAGTAATTGAAACGGATAAATACCTTCAAGTTGTTATTTACGATCATATAACGAGGAGAAAAACATGATCAATTATATAGACGCATATTTATTTTTCTGTATTTTTCTCTCTCTTTTCCTATAATCTTTCACTCTCACAAGACAGGCAATTTAAATATAAATCTACCGTACATTTAAAAGAAAGGATATGTAAACGAATACACATTGTAATTTGTATAAATTGTTGACAAGATTTGAGATGATAGTTCGAAAGAAAACAGGACAACAATTGAGACTGATGTTATTGAAACCACAAGTAATATAAAGGCTTTTTCACTTGTCATTCATTGTATAATTCATCTCTACTACTCACATGTATGCATATACCAATACTGAATAAATTGGTTATCTTAGTTGAACTGATTTTTTATTTATCTTTAATTCTTTCAATAAAGTAAGTGTTACTGGCGCAAAGTACGAACAAATGGATAAAATAATGTGGAAACTGACACAAGATTCAATTAGTAAGAACTGTTAGATGTCAAAAGCAAAAACATTTTAATGGATTTAACACTCTCATCCGAAAATACTTAGTCATAAGGATGTTATGTAATCGAATTTTGCCTAACCAACAGCTAGTAACTATATGAAATGACTTGCCTATGATCACTGAACAAATATACTGACTTTAAGATACTTAACATGAGAATATGTATAGTGACTGATTTCTGTTATGATCTATGTCGTCAGTTCAAATGAACTCATCGCCAGTTGTTATGATCGCGTCGACAACTGATATGACCGAGTGAACTTATGCAAGGGGTATAATAATACTGACTCAATGGACATCTCAATTGATATGCTTAATACGCCTATTTGTTCGTGGTACCTTCCGTTTCACTGAGTCACGTGAATATCAAAAGACAAAGACTGGTCTGTGACTGCTGGGATACGACTTTATTAAGGAAAAGTAAGTCATATTTATATATTTTTAACCACATTAAAACAGGCCTAGGGTAGTAAACATAGATAGTTCTGATTGGTAGGCGATTCGCTTAGGTCCACGAAAATAAACATTCTGATTGGTTGGGATGAGACCAAGACCAAGGTAAGAAAAAAAGATGAAATTTCAAAAGAATCCAATCACACGATGAATCATAAGATGATTACTATTTTAAGCCGACACTTACTGATTCACAATACATCAACAACATTCCTGATGAATGTCTGTACTGTTACTGTAAATTTCGGCTTGAAATACCACGTTTTACTTACATGCGTTGTTGCTTCAATCACGCATTCACTGAACTTTTGTTATGCCTAAGAAGTGATTAAATTTGCTAAATTCTAAAGGTTAATGTGGTAGGATTTCATTGTGATTCATTTCATAAAGCAGAGTGTAGCTATTTCAGTAGGCTAAATTTTAACGAAATTTTATCATAATTAGACTACGGACATATTGAAACTAATCCTTATGTACTTTGACTCACATATCAGGTGGAGCGCGTTTTACACACATTCAAACTTCCTTTTTACCAGTATATAGAAATTTACTACCATATATTTATTATAAATGGATCTCAGGATTTCAGATTAATAAGAAGAAAACGAGGAGGAATATACTTCAACCCACCAGCGATGATAGTGTCGTGTATAAATCGGCGAAATGAGTCAGTGAGAATCATTTAGGATAATAGAGAATATAAATTTAGATTAGTCCAGAATCATGAAATTCTCAGTCATTATTAGGTACCCACAAAAGAGCCAAGCAGTGCAAAAATCCCATGAAATAATATAGTTAATTCGCCAGGTTGTAACCAGTTGAGAAGAACTTTAATGCAATTCAAATTTTTAACGTTCAGGTTGTAACCATTTGAGAAGAATGCGATCGCTCGTCATCTATTGGACACTGGTCATATTGCAGACAACCTGAAGTTTTTCAAAATAATCAACAGGCAAAAGAAACCTAGCTTGCTACGCTTTCTGAAGCAATTGCCATCAAACCAAATCTATGTATGCAGAAAGAGACAGTGGTGAATCTTGCAGTGCCCCCTGGTGATAACAAAAAATATACAACTTTCATGAGTCGCCTTTTTCATGTTTAGAAAACTCCACTCTCTCATCTAAACATGACTCACCCTACCTTGTTCTTTCTTTCCTTTTTTCTATTGGATAAGACGTTTTCTTTAGTTGCGTAATCTACTATTTTTGTTATGCTCTTTCTAGCTAAACCTTGTTTCTATACACACACATATATACGCAACCCTGTTTTTTTGTTTCCAAGCCTAATAATAATAATAATAATAATGATTTACTTTATTCCAAAAACACTACTTGTGATACAGAATGGAATTTTCAGCATTAATCACAATATTGCATCTAATTTCCTCAAATTATAAATAAAATTAATCACACAGAAAATTTTCCACACTTACAATAGAGGTAGTGTCAAAAACATGCAGCATATAAAATGGAAATAGCAATAATAATGATAACAGCTAGGGTAATAATAATAAGAATACAAGTGAAAATTGCCGTTGGCTTGTGCCACACAGTATTGTCAATGTGGTATAGAAATCCTAACATGTTTAAAAATATTGAATATAATGTTCTTTCTACATGATACGGTGAAGGGAAAAACAAAGATTACAGCCGTCATGGAGATAAGTTGGTGTTTGCAATTATGAGAGTAAAACGGAGAAGTAACAGGACCATAAATATAATAGAAGTAATAAAAGTAAAACTTGAAAGTATATAAGGATGGATGGAGGAAATTGTTTATTTACTAGATTCTATAAATAGTCAGTGTTTGTAACTCCTAGTCAGTTAAATCATTCCGGACCAATGTTACTTTAATTCCTACCAATTACTCCTTATGATCGTGGAAAAGTATGTTCATATCTTTGATGTAATTCAAATTTTTAACGTTCAGGTTTTAATCCCAGTTGAGAAGAATCTTCGAAATAATAAAAGATGAGCTCATGTTATCCTGGTACAATTGTTGTTCTTGCTTTGTTCAAATTCTTATCTATCGAACGAGCGTTGAACATATGCAATAGAACTTATGTAGCGTCAATTTCTAATTGAAGAAAAGATTACCTACTTTGAAACAATCAGGGAATATGCAGTAGAATTACAATGTGAAATCATACTCTCCATGTTGTCCAGTAAACGAAACAGTGTCATCATGTATTAATTCGTGCAAAATACATCAACATACAGTATATCTATCTCCGTATTCTTTTTTTCCGCAAGATAGCCAGTAATATAGACTCTATGGATGAACAAAAGTGAATAAAAATGATCATAGGGCTCAATATACTACTGGTTGATTGATATAAGTAGTTGGATACCACTTGCATAAGTCAGTTGCGTTTTCTAACCAGATCTAAGTGATTTAAACACCAAACGGCCGTTTTACCCGTTTTGAGGCTAAGCTCGGGCTAAGTGCTGTCCGCAGTTCTTCTCAGCTCATAGGGCCCTATCAATTCAAACCACCCGAAGTGCGATTACATAGAATCAGATTTGTCACTCGTAGTGAGAAATCACCCCATATAAAAGAAATGTATGTCTAGTGTTTAGATTACTTAAGTCTGGTTAGCCAGCACCACTATTTGACAAGGGTGGCTTCCAACTACTCATATAAATAAATCAGTACTATATATATTATCCCGTTATTTTGCTTACTATGTTGATGCCATTCATGTTATCTGATCTCAATATTTGCGGTTTCCAAAGAAAATCATGATGACTTCTGAGCTCGAACTGTGTAATTTGTAAATGACGAATCTGATCTAGTGATCTTAAGAGTCAGTTAAAGGCATTATTGAATTTATAAAAGAAGTTACACTAAGCTTGATAATTAAGGGCTACGGAAAGTTTTTAGAGACGTAACGCGCCTACTTGATGAACGTTTTGATTGCTGAGATCACATTATTCCGTAAAGTATGAATAATCCTTAGTTTGTTTTTGTAGTGCCAGGCTGTAAACCATTCATTTATTCTCATTAGAAAGAAAACCAAGTTGTGATGAATTTGTGTTCTCGACCGTGAGGAGACAAAATTTAAAGTTTTTCGACGTACTTACACAAAATAAATTAGTTTGATTCATAATTAACACCCGCTATAGACTACTTATTTCATTTGTTGGTATTAGTAGTTACTAACTGACTAAACCTAAGCTATGTAGCAAAGCTTTCTACTTGAATTAACTAGTGGCTAAATGACCCTAAACAAGTCCCTGAATATCATAATATCACTAAAAAAAATCGTTAAATGCTAGTCATCTGTCTTCTTAGTATTATTCTTGATTTAAAAAGTCATTGCTTGGTATCATCACCTCTGTAACATTGAGAGATATATTCATAAAGGAACAAGCATAATGACATTTAAAAGGTACCGTGAAACAAACTGAGAGTGAAGCTCAAACTCGAAGAAATAAAGCTTTAAATTGTCCAGATGAAGTGAGGTCTGACTTCAAACTAGGACGCCAACTCATTATCATCTTCTTGTCTCAATATATGTTTCCTGAGTACAATGAGCAACACATATATCATACTGAAAAGCGTGCTACTTTTTTAAACCTGAAAAGAAAGTTTGAAAAGTGAATGAATGTGTATTAATCCAACGCTAACTTTTGTCTATTTCACATAAACATGTCGCCATTAAGGACTTAATTTCAACGTAAAAAAGCCAACAGAATGTGTACAAGTAGGAACTGTATGGTAGGTTATTTAAACATTCTATTAAAAATCCTGATCAGAATAACTGTGAATTATCCAACTACCAGTTGTGAATTCTCTATGTTTAGATGACATTATTGTGCGTTGGTGGCACAGTGGTTAGGACTCTCGCCGACCATGCACAAGGTCCGGGGTTCGAGCCCGCACCAACGCACACCTGATATCTACGGTCGGCCTGCAAAATTTGGGCTACCGATATCCATGCTGAAAATTCCATACTTGTACCGAAAATACAGTGTGGAATCAAGCTGTAAATCAAAAATAAAAAAAATAAAAAATTTTGGACAATGCTGTTGAAATAGTACAATTCCTGAAAGACAGCACTTCTTTACATTATTTTTGCTACTC